GGGAAAGAGACAGACATGCAATCGGAAAAATCTAGGATTGAACAGATGGGCATTTATTAAAAAGAAAATAAGTATCAGCTATGTAACAACGATGATCCTGGTATCAAAAAAAATACTTTACAGACTCTTCTCCCTCCACCTTTCCCAAATGCTGCCACCACTGACAAACAAACCCAAACTCATGAGACAGATGAGAATTATTAATCCTATTTTACACACTGGTAAGCCTCAGTCAGAGATGGATTCCAAGTCCATTCTACTCCAGCTGAATTCAATTGGAATCTATTGACTTCAATAGAAATCAGACCTGGCCTTAAGTGACTTATCGAAGGTTATACAGCAAATTGCAGAGTTGGAAATACAAATGAGACTATAACTACAATACAATTACAACTTGACTTCCTAGAGGGAAGTGTCACGAATTTGTACAGCTTGTACATTGCTGGATAGAACTTTGCCAGATACGTTGTTACAAATAGCAAAATATTGTGACTCAGTCACAAGTTTCATGTTCTTCTGGGATTTGTCATGAAAATAAACAATTTTGATAAGTGGTGGTAAAATGTATTATTTTACTGAGTGGCGCAGTCAGGGTGAGCTGTCATTGTAAAAGCACTTGAGTTGGTGAATAAAATTAATGGTACCTTGCATCTTACATTTTTTCTTTAAAATGTCAGATTCAAATCTTAATTATACTGTGTTGAATGGCACAAGTTAGGTTGTACCATATGAGATTTACTTTAATATCAACAAGACCTGATATTAACCTGTTCACTCTGTTCTTTTTCTTTTTTAACTTTCCCGTTCCAAATCCTCCTCAGACACCCCCTGAACCTGATTATCCCCTTTGCATGTGGAATATGTATTTTAGTGTGTCATAGCCTTATTATTTTATCTGCATCTATGTTTTCTCATTGTTAGTGTATTTGAAAACATGGATTCTACTAGATGTTTTTTGTCTTCTGAATAGTTGCAGTATATCCACTTACTATTGGATCCTGTTCTCTCAGTTTCCATTTTGGTTCTGACTACATGAAAAGTAAACGGGGTAAAAATATACACAGAAAAATATCCAATTGTTTGTCGATGCCAAATTACCACCAGCCTTATCCCCAAATGAATTCCTTAAACATTGTTTTTTTTTCTTTCACCAAAATGCATATTGTTTGGATAAGGGATGCTTTCCATTTCAGATCTTCCTAAGAGTTTTCAGTTTTCTCAATCAGATAATCGCAAGAAAGATAAATGTGTATTTTATACCAGGTTTGAGGCATAATTCTAAATTGAAAATTATTTTAAAGAAAGCAAAAAGGAGGTTAGTGAAAAGCCAGTGAACACTGTTTTACAGGTCATTACTCAAATGTGAAATTCAACACTTTTGGTGATACATTGCAACGAGGAAGGCTGGGAGTTTTTTCGGGGTAGCGACTGTCTTTCAATTCTGTGCTTGTACAGCACCCAGCAGAATGAAGTCTTGTTCCACAGGGCTCTAAGTGACACTATGAGAGAGAATACTGAAAGCAAATAATTAATTTAATTAGAAATCAGGTTTACTTTGTAGAGTACAGAATGTGTGAGAGTAATTTTGCAACGATATATATGCAGTGAATTTTAGCAAGCGACATCAAATAATTTATGAATTTTCAATCCTTAAGTAGTAACATATTTTGAACAAATTGTTATAATTTATAAGCTCAGAAATCAGCTCCATTTAAAAAAGCCTTTTAGGAGACTCTTGTTTTAGGTCACATCTGTAAAAACTTGTGGGCATTTATAGACATGCTCCTGGAGGCAGGGGAGGGAGGAGAAGAAGTGCTTTAATTAGTGCAGCTCTGAGAGCCATGCTAATTAAAAGCACCCAGAGTGTCACATGTATCAGCATCCCTGCCCTGAAAATGGCAGCTGGGTGCTTTGAACTAAAACTCATGGAGCCAGCTTCAGTTTAAAGCACCCCACCACCATTTTTCAGCACAGGGATGCTTATACACATGGAGCTGGAGTCTGCGCAATTACCACGCTCCAACAGACTGGATTAATTGTGTCTGCCCCAATTTTAAATGTCAGATCAGCCTCTCTGCATGTGTATAGGAGCCCTGTGTTTTAGCTTGTGTCTTTTTGAAGGTTCAAGAACCACATTTTTAGATATAAAAAGTGTTGCTTAACTTAAAAAGTTTGTTTGACTACCTTATCCCTGCAATTTTAATAGGTGTGGTGTTCAAACGGTGAGAATAGGTGGCAATGAGCGCTCCCAGGGTTTATTCTTGACTCTGAGACTGGTTTGTTTTATGACCTTGAGAATGTTGCTTAGCCTTGCATTGTTTGCAGTTCCTCACAGCAGTAGGAGGCATGCTCTGGGAAGAAGTGTATGTGGTGAGAGAACTGCCAAAATCACTGAGAGGCTTAAAGGCATTTGTGGACTGTCATCAGTCTGCTCCATATGACCCCATCCTTCTGCTCCCTTTACTGTCTGACGTTTTGCGCTAAGAGTGCCAGAAGCGTCTGAAAGTTATTTGGAGATGTTGGTGTAAAGTTCAATAAGTGCACTAAAAAGTATTATTCTGATAAAGATTTGATTGTGTGACGTGGATTGTTTCAGTGTGTTTTTGTGTTGTGTTATTCCTTTGTCTTGTGATTTAGCTGAGGGTTACTTTGCCTTTGAGAAAGACAGAGAGGTAGGGACCTGCTGACCCCCCCCCTTCTTAGAGCAAAAGCAAACTGAACAAAGAATGATTTGCCCTGGCAAAATGAAGATTTATAGCCAATATCAATCATTTACTCTCTGACAACTCAAAAGCACATCTTTTCAGGGATGGTTTTCATCCATATCCATCCCTGATATAAACCAAGCAATGTCACTTCCCTTTGGAGGTTGAAAGTGAAAGGGCAACATTTAAAGTGTCAAACTGATATAGCACAACACAGGCATGTCTTAGTTTTGCTTATCAGTATAACCCATGTAGTGTGAAAAAGCTGATATCTTTGCCACATGGCTGGGATTCATACCTATTTGGCTATCTGCAGTTAGATTAGAGAACAGCAGCGGAAGACATAGGTAAAGATTTAGGGTCAAATTCAACTCTAAGTTATTGCCGTGCAACCCCAATGAAGTGTAGTGGAGTTGAACAGAACAAGTGAGAGTAGAATTTGATATTCAGTCTCCAGATGCCCATTCCCTGACAGGAAATGTCCTCCATAGCAATTTTGATATCGGAGAGGTAAAATATAATGGTATTAAAAGGAAACAACGTGGCCTGGTGAATAGGAAGCTAGAATAAGACCCAGAAGACCTAGATTGTAGTCCTGGTTCTGCTGCTAACGTGCTGAGTGACCTTGGAAAATTACTCATTCTGTTTATACCTCATTTCTCTAGCTGTAAAATGGAGCTTATGATACGTACCAACCTTGGTAATGTGATTTTAGGTCTATAGACGGAAAGTTTTATAGGTCGCCAGAAGATGTCCTTTTATATCACCTTCCCTCATCCATTAAGCGCCCCCCACATGCCTACCCATATACATTGCATTAATATCCCACCCTTCCTGTTTTTGTATGAGTTGCTATTTAATAAAGCGTGGACATTTTATTAGGTAGCATTTGGGGTGACACGCAAGTTAATGATTCTTTTGGAAGCCAGTTTTCTACCGTAATCCTGTGATCGGTATCGTAATCCTGTGATCAGTACTCTGACACGTACGCTTGTTTCTACTGTAGAACAGTCATTGGTAGATCATGACGTCAAGTGACTGGAGAACAATGAAGCCAGCAAAAAAGTGAAAAAAATTGTGAAAAGAGGATTTTCTTTTCTTTGGAGCAGAAAGTAGGAACAAGCAATGTATCCATTTGTATGTGAAGTAAATATAAGATTTTCCCTCCTCTCCCTCTTGCCACAGTCCTTCTAGAACTTGGTAACTGAAAGGAAGAACCCCCCCCCCCCTGTGTTTTAAATGGGCAAATTGAGAAATTCGTGATGTTGCCAAGAGTAGGTGAGGATAAAGCTGCCTGGGGCTCTTTTTTGAGCTCACGGGGGGCTTTAAATGAATTTATCGTCAGAGAAGCAAGACAAAAACCAGAAAAATGTGTGTATGTGCATGTGTGCAAACTGTGCTGTGCAAAGGGATTATATTGTATACGTGAAGTTTATTGCAAACCTTGTTGAGGCTCATTTTCCAAGGTAACTTGGTTAATTTTTTCTTGCAACACAACAAACAGAATATTATCCCCTGGTATTTGCTTGCTGGTTACAGTCTTCAAGAAGAGGCTGGGTAAGCATTTGCCTGAGAAGTCCTGTATTTCTACCAAGGGTTGAACAACATGATCCTTCCAACCCTTTGATTCTGTGATACTATCCTCAGGATGTTTTGAAAACTGGATGCATTTTTTTTTTTTTGCCTCTCGCCAGAGGGAAATTTTTAATTAGAATAGTTTAGATGCAAAGGTCCAAACTATTTTGCATCTGTTAAAATGTATAATTTCTGAAACAACTGATACTTGTCCAGTACAAATATCTGAGATAGGACTGAGATACATTTCTTCATGGGAGAAGTACTTGCGTGTTATGGGCTTAGCCCTATAGCCCTTAGTCAAAATTCCCATGAACTTTATCGAGATTTTGAACTGACAGTGATGATTTTAGACCTGGGTTTTAGGTTGAGTACCTAAAAGGGCATATCTTTCTTAGTAAAGGGGCCTTTTGTTCTCCCCTTTTCTTTTTCACTTTCTTCTTCCTGTATCCAGGTGCTTTGGGGATGATAGTCATATTTAATTGAGAAACAAAAAGAAAAGAAAATCAGGCCAGTTCATTATTGGAATGGGAAACTTCCAAGGAAAATCCATGTGTTAAAGTAGATGTGGATGAA